ATCTTATGCAAAGAAATATGTATTCTCTTAATTACCAAACTACTTTTAGCTCAAATCTAAGTATTTTTTTATCTTCAAGCAACTATCCAAATATTCTTTCAACATAAAGTCTCTCAAAACATTAATAACCAAGTAATTTTTTATAGACAAACAAGTTTTTTTTTATTTTTACAATTAAGTCTCTTCAGACTTAAAGCAATAAATACCTTTTTTTTACAATCAAATCTCTTTAGACTCCAAATAATAACACAAAGTTAAAGTTGGGTAAGTTAACTATGTTGTTTCATCTTATATATTAAAGACTTTTTAAAGAAAGAATATATTTTTTACAAAAATTGATCTCTCTATTTTTCGTTGTGTTGTCATCTCTTTCTTTTTGAGCTTCAAGCTCCCTTTTATAGGACTTTAATGAAGACGATCGTCACAAACTTTTGAGTGTCTCTCATAGGTTTGTTTCGTTTGTCTTTATCTTCATTCCTTGTAGAAAAAAGTATCTGATGATACATTAAATGCTTTAATCAAATAGTCACTTCTTATCTGATCAAAGAAACTAATTATCATCTTTTAGGTATTAGAAAGGTGGTCTCATGCGTGTCACAATTCAAAACAACTTTTTTTTGAAGATTTTTTTGATTCACGAGATCTACTTGTCTTTTTTTTGACACAAAGTATGTCTTTCTTTTCTTTTTGTCATTGTTGGTACCAAGAAAGTTGCTTTGCATTGATTTGTTAAGAAATATTTGGCATAAAGATTAAGTTAGTTATCAGATATCATAAATGATATTAATTCAAAGTAAATGTCTCGTAGATGAATCATTTCTCTACTAAATACTCATATCAAGATAACAGATCATCTTAGTGTATTCGTTTTACAAAGATCATTCGTCTTATTGAATAGTTTTAAAAAAATTATAAAACAAAGCATATATATTCGTTATCATTAAAATATTATAGTTAAGAGATCTAAATTCATTTTTTCGAGTGGAGCTAACTTAAGATAATGGAGTTGAGCTCACAATATAACTAATTGTTAATGGAGTCAAGGTCACCAAATTATATATATATATATATATATAGATCATTTACTCCAAAATTATCACTCAATAATTTATATTTTACATCAAATTTTAATGAGTTAACCTTTGAATTAAAATTTTTTAAATATATAAATCAAGTTACAAATTTTTAAAAAAAATTGAAAATTATATGATATTTTATTATATATATTCAAATTAATGTATAAAATACTTTTATGATTATCTTTTAATTTGAATTAATAAAATGATGTATCAAATAATTTTAAATTTTTTAAAAATTTATCAACTTAATCTATCCATTAAGAATTTCTAATTTGATAGTCAAATTGTTAAAATTTAATATGAAACATGAGTGATTAAGGAGAATAAGTATATCAAGTCTTAGTCTTAGAGTAAGTGGATCTATCATATATATATATATATA